AGTACGAAGGAGCGCTGGTAGCGGGGGACCCGGTTCTGGTGACGGACCGGGGCCGACTTCCGGCGCGGCGGCCGGGAGCGGAGCGGCGGGGTAGGGCGCGGGGGGCTCCGCGCCGGGCGGGCTGGCGGAGTTTGGCGCCGCCGTGGCGAGGGGCGGCCGCGGGCCCGGAGCTGGACCCGGGGTAGGCGGGTGGGCGAGGGGGCGACGGGCGAGCCGAGCGCGGCCCCCGGGGTTTGTGCAGGCAGGTCAGGTCAGGTCGCGCCGTGGGTCCCTCTGGGCGAGGCGGGGGGGCGTCCCAGGTGGAGCCGCACCGGCCCCCGTTGCAGACATAAAGTAACTTCTGCCTCACGGGTGCGTTTCTTTCTTCTTGCCGTCCCCCCCCAGGAGAAGCGGCAATGTAACGTGTCACATGCCAGCGCTGCCTCCGGCTGACGTCGAGGGATCGGCGCCGGTCGGTGGGGTGCCACTCGGGAGCCCTCCTGACAGCCATAATTGGCTTCGCTCAGAGCCTTATCCCGGTTCCTCTGGCTGCCCAAAGCCCAGCGCTTCTCCCCGTGACAAACCTCCCTTCTGCTACGCTGTTTGGTAGCCGCCTTCTGGGCCCTGAGGACAGTGTGTGAGCTGTGTGAAAATGCTGCGGTACTGGGGCGAGATTCCAGTTTCGTCCAACCAGGCCAACCGTAGCTCCTTCGACCTGCTCCAGCGGGAGTTCCGTACTGTGGAAGTCCAAGACCCTCCATTGCACCAGCCATCCGCAAACAAACCCCGGCCCACCACCATGCTGGACATCCCCTCAGAGCCCTGCAGCCTCACCATTCACACCATTCAGCTCATCCAGCACAACCGGCGGCTGCGCAGCCTGATCGCCATGGCTCAGGCCCAAAACCAGCAGCAAGCAGAAGGCATAAAAACTGAAGACAACGAGCCACTGCCATCTTGTCCGGCCTCTCCACCTCTCCCTGATGACCTGCTTCCTCTGGATAGCAAGACCCCCAAAATGCCATTTCAGCTGAGGCACAGTGACCCAGAGAGTGATTTCTACAGGTGTGTTGGGATTTCTTTGGGTTAGTTCTTGACCGCAGGAAAGTGGAATCTTTTTAAATATATATGTAGTTATGTTGATTCTCCTAGGCTGAAGGGTCAAACAGTTGTATGTAAAGAATAAAAAGGAAAGGCTTAGATTTCTTCTGTGTGGATAACGTGCACATTGTTTAAAATAAATGTGCCTTTGTTTCCTGACTATAAAATGTGGATGCGTAGTGCTAGTTTCTGTCTTGTTAGTGCTACGCTAAATGTTTGTGAATGGTTTTGCTAGTTTCAATGGTATTTTGACAAGTCTAGTTACAGGCTGTGAAGTTTCATGTTTAGGTCACTTACTTGCAACTAAGCTTGCCTTATTGTAACTGAAAATCCAGAAGATGCATGGCCAGGTTTTGGCTGTTTAATTGTAGATTCTAAAAGGATGATTTGATAACATATTAGTAAGATTTCAGTGTCCGAGGACCTGTGATATAGTAACGAACACATTTCACCCTGTTTGTTGGTGTTACTCCTGTCAGAGGTGGCAATGACTATGGGTAGAGGGAATTCTTGTCTCTGATACTGGCTGTACCAGCCAAGAGCTGGAGAAAACGTAAAGACAAGTTGCATTACTTCTACCTCTGCAGCCAATCTTTGATTAGACAGTATTGCCATCGCCCCTCTGACAAGCACTAAATTCACAGGGAGGTATTACATTTTGTGCAGGATCTCACAATACTTTGTAGGTTGTGTGCATTTAAATTCAGGGATTTATCCACACTACTATAACTTTCAGTTCTTAGATTTATGACTGTATACCAATGAACATGATATGGGAGAGGATATTACATTTTAGTTTTTAAAATGGGGAAAATGTGCATCAATAATATATAATGTATCAGTTAAATGCCACTGAGATCTTTAATGGCCTGATTTTGTATAAAATGTGTCTTATTGAAAGATGTTGCTTTTGGTAACATAGTCTCTCTGAACAGAAGAGTGATTCCCCAGTGCTGTTTGTGGAGGAACATTATCATCCTTCTCAGAAGAAATAAATAAGCTTAGAGGGGTGAAGGGAAATCCAGTCGTCTTGTGGATAAAGTCTGAGCCCTGTGACTGCTGCTGTTTCTGGCCTTGTGGTTTGTAGAATTCAGCAGTGTTCTGCTCTGTCCTCCCCGGTGGCTTCAGCTTTAAGTTCAGTTTTCTGTGGCTCTGTCCGTGCTTTGGGGGCTGCTTTGTCTTTCTGTTGTCCCTTGCGAGTTTCTGGGGTTCAAGTAAAGGAATGTTATTTAGCAGTCAACCACATGGGGGAGTTTAAGGACTAGATTGTAAAAGCTGGATAGACAAGTTTGAAATTAAATGTTTTGTGGCTGAGAGAGAGTGAATTTATAATGAATTGCAGTGTAGACTAGAATTTAATTGCGTGCTTGCTAAACCAAACACATTTATGTTTTACCAGGAAAAAAGCTTTGAGTTTGTTGTTGCATGTTTGTTCTTAACTGTTTTAGGACGCTTACATGAATTAAGCATAGCAGCTTCTGTTATAGTAGTAAAAATAAAGTTATATGATTTGCTGATGCTTGTTCTTAGTGTGTAAAAACAATTTAAGGAAGAACATTCTTCCCCTTGATAAAACATGGTAGTGCTGAATTTTATGCTGCCTTCTGAAGTGCCATTGTTGGAGTTACAGTACTCAACTAAATCCATATTTTAATTCAATTTTCTTTGGCAGTAACCTGGGTCTGAGAAGCAGTGTATAGGTGTATTCAGACATAAGAAGGAGGGAAGATAAGAGCAGCCTTCCAAAATCAGACCACAAGTTTCTTTATTACTGCCATGTTCTCTTCTGTTTCCTTGTTATTCATTTTCATCCTTTGACCTCACACCCTTGTCTTTGTTATTCCCTGGATTCATTTTTGTTTGCCTCCCTTCTGCCCCGCCCCATACCTGTAACCCCTACCTCCTCGTCCCTTTTGAGCTGAGGAAGAGGCAGAGCCTAATTTACTGCTATTTTTCAGTTATTTTGGTCTTTCCAACCGCTCAAAATCTGTACCACCGGCAGTTGTAATCACACCACTATTCCTTTCCTCCATTTTTCCAGACTTTTTATCAATATATTGAAACAAACCTTGGTTCTGGCACAGAGTCTGCAGGGGAGACCTGCGCTCCACAGTGGAGGTCTGTTATGTACTTGCTTGTTGATGGATTTGGAGGACTCTAGTAGGTTTGTGAAATAGGTTTTCCATTTACAAAAGCTATCTGGACTCTTTCTGAGTGTATCATATTTCCCCATGTGTCTTCTAATTCTGTTCTTATAATTTCTTTGAATTTCCCTGATGCACCAGAATATATCAGGCTTCCCAGGCTGCAGTTCTTCACGTCTTTTCTGAAACTATTAGAAGAAAATGTTTTCACGTTTTCTGTCTGGGCGAAGGGAGTTTGAAGCAAGAGGTGACTCACCACAGCTATTCAGCTATTTCATCCTTGAATTCCTTTAGTATTCCTGGATGAATTGCCATCTGGTGCTGGTGATTTGCAACTGTTGATGTTACGGTTCTTGAAATACACAATAAGGGATTAACATTTGTTTTTGGTTAGTAAAGAAACAGAAGGTAAGCTTAAAGCATAATTGATGAAGAACGAGTAAAGAACCGTAGACATGAAACTACCATTTGAACAGGAGGCTTTTGCCATAATACAGCTGCTAGCTTTTCCTTCTCTGTTCAGCTTCCCCCGATTAGCATGGATCCATCTGAAATGGAACCTGACCTACTCATTATGTGTCTCTTCAGGTACTTTTTTTTGTGTATGCATGGTTAGTTTTTTAACAGATTTCTCTGCGGTTCTCTCATTTGTGTTCTTGACCACATCGGATGTGTGCTTTGCACTGAAAGATAGTCTGTGAACAAAATTGGGAGTTTGCAATGGGAAGAAGTTCATGGCAGAAGGGCTTGTAGTTAAATATCTGTACAGAAGTAAGGAGTGTCAGTGGGATAGCAGGTTTAATGTTGGGAAGAATTTGGAGCAGTGGATATTAGAGCTGGCAGAATGTACTTCCCCTGCTGGATGAAGCACTTTGGCTTAGCCCCTAAACTCTCTGGTCCTCTGGATTGGGCCACTGGGACCCAATTTATTTTCCCAATGTTATCTATTAGCTTTTTGCCATTATCTATTGAGCAGCTACTTTTTATATCTGTTCAGCCTTCTACAGACATAGCAGGGATATTTGAAAAGAGGATGAGGTGGAAAGAGGCCCTTTTCTAAAAGGAAACAACTTTCTGGTTTGAGTTAGCCTGCTGATTTTTTGATGCACTGACTGGTATAGTCTTGTTTTTTCCGATGTTCTTCTTTATTTTACTGTTTTGGGGGAAATGGCTGTGAAGCGACCTTGTTGCACCTCATTTGGTAGAAATTCAACTCCACAATCTAATGTTTCATAAAATTGATATGTTCATAGGAAAAACAATCCCTCCCTCCATCTGCTGATAGCTTATGCTCACGTAGAAGGGAGCAGAGCACTTCAATTGGTTACTGCAGTTGAGTGAACGTTGGCTGTCGATCCTCATACTGACTTAGCCCAAACACTTTCCCCTGAATATAGTTGCATGGGAAATGAACCATGAGATCTCCATTCCTCTAAGAAAAACAGTCTTACAGGAGAGGAGTTTGGGTGAATGGATTGTGGTGCCTTTAGGAATGTCTTACTGATACAGAAGATGGACCTTTTTTGAGTTCTGAAACCTTGTTAATCCTGAAAATAAGCCTGGTTGTTATAAACGGGCAGTTTTTTCTGTTGTGCAGTTCTGCGTGTTGCACGTTTGCTGGCAGCAGTGGGAGAAGGCTAGGCTGGGTCTGCTGAATTTGTGCCTTGGCAGGTAGATTTCTGTCTGGAACATCAGCTAGTGTTGGTGACCCATTTATAAAAATATAGATCCTATTGAAAACACAAAATTGAAGAGCGAGACGTTGGCCAGTGTTTGTGATAAACTTCATACTATCTATGTTCAGTAGAGATGATCACCTCCAAATCACAGGCCTAATTGCCTGTTTTGTTACTCTCCGGTGACAGAATTTTAGGGATTACAGTGCTCGTGTTTACTTGCAGCTGTATGACTCTGGTAATATGTTAAATAGGCTTGGCTTTGGATGGCAGCTGGATGGGAAGCCTTTCACGAGAGCAATGAGTGCTGCCCAGGGTGACATTCTGCATAAGGGTAGTATCTGGAAGGGTGCATTTGTAAGTGCTAGGTATCTGGATGAGATCAAAGACCAAGGTTATTTACCTATGATCATCAGGGAAAAGAAGTTTGCTGCTCCTTTTTTGGGAAGGCTTGACATTAGACAGCCACTTTCAACTTCAATGTGTCTGTACGGCTGGTTTTGTTTTTATGTACATTCTTATCAGACAGTACCTGAATGTTAAAGGAGATAAAGAAAAAAAGATATTTTCTCATTTGTTGTTTTCTATAACATCTATAACTATATTTCAGTTTTTGCTGTCAAACCAGGCTTTTAATCATTGTCTCTTATTGTTTATTGAGGGAAACAGGAAAACAAGAGAATAAAACATAAAAAAACCAAAACATAATTGACTGACCTTACCACGAACAAGAGGTAGGGATTTGGATTTGAGTACAGTACCTGAAATTTCTTTTCTCTCTGTCTTTAATTGATGAGATTTCAAGTTGATTATATCCCTTTCAGCATAGTGACCTAGCTGCATTTTAATGTTGGCAATTAGTTTCTTTTCCTCTAGGAGTTTAAAAGAGATATAACTTTCTCTGCCGCTTCTGAGCAGTGATACGCATTGCTAAATGGTTGTTGTGCTCTACTTTACCAGTGGCTGAGTATCCTGCCTGGGCTTGCCAAATTCTGTGTCTAGTTTAAGTTTGTCCATAGTGTTTTGATTGAATGGCAGAGTGTCAATAATGGCTCTTTATTCGTATTGATAGTAGTCTGGTGTTGGGTGTTTTTAGTCGCGTAAGATGCTCTCAACTGATGGCTGCTGGTAAACTAGGTATGTTCTTTATATGTGTTAAAAAAGAAGAGATTCTTTTTTATAGGCATAAATTATGATGGTTGTTTTCTGGTTGGTTTTGTTTTCTGGTTGTTTTTTTTTCTGTTGTAACCTCCTGGTCCCGGTGTTGTATGAGACATATGGCTGCTTGTGAACTTCAGAAATCTGTCACTGGGTGGTGGAGGGGAGAATGAGGGAGATGTAAGAACAGTATGGATGACACTTGGTTTATAAGGGAACTGATGATCTTTTAATTCATCTTGTCAGAGCGCCTGCTGTCTTCTTTACAAAGTAGTTACATAATTGAGTAGGAATTGGGATGTGAGTCATTTTCCAGCAATTAATAACTGGGATGAGTCCGTGACCTGAGATCCACATGCTGTTCTTAATACCCACTTAGAAATATCATCGTCTGCAGCTCTTAATATGGTGTGATTCCCCCTTTATTTGAATAATCAGAAAGTGCTGAGCTGGTGTTCTTGAAAAGGAATTATTTTGGTCCTGATATCTTGAAGCTTAACCTTCCATTTTCACTCCCCTGAAATGTTACCCTTTTTTTTACCGCTGTGTTCCAGTGGTTTTCTGTGTCAGTCCTGAGGATCAGGGGGAGCTGAGGCTCTGTGACCCAGTGACTCAGTGAGACTGAAGACCTAATGCACTCGTTGGAGAAACGAGAGTAGTGAGAATTTTATCAAGGCATCAGTGGTGTCTGTGTACTGTTTAATCAGGTCTTGTAACTGGAAAGTGTGTGGTGATATGCAAGTAACGTAGGGTGAGAGCGAGGCGAATCTCAGGGTGGGCTGCGGAAGATGTCGGGAGAAATTGATCAGAAACAAATGAAGGGTGAAATTGTTAGCTTAATTCTGCCATTGATGCTGAATGAAGTGTAAAAAAGTATATAAATGCCATACTTAGCAGAAAGGAAATTTGATTTTTTGACAACAGCATTTGAAGACCGTGTTACAGATATGGGCAAATACATCACATGCATTTAATTGTGAATTGAGAAATCTGGTAGAAATATGTTTACCCTTCAGAAGCCTTGCCTTATCTCATCTTCTCTTTTTCCTATGTGGAATTTCTATTTGTTAACTTATCTTGATGAAAAATTCATTTGCCTGACTGTAAATGAGTGATGTTTGAAGTGCTCATGTCAGTTGTTCTCCATCTGTTCCATCCTGCGTGGTCACTCTTTCCTGCTTAGCAACACTGAAGAAGAGAGGTCTCAAAGCCAAGGCCAGGGAATGCTGCTCTGCAGCAGAACCTCTCCAGGTTTCCTCCCAGGGCCTGGTGTTTGCTACTTAGATTGAGTACAGGGATGTTTCTTTCGGTATCACATGTAGTGACTACTGGAAATGAGGGCAGGGAAATTGTCTTTTTGGCTACAGTGTACCTTTATGAAACATATGTATCCCATTTTTGCTTTTTATGTGTGTCTTTTGCATTATAAATTCAGATCTTGTCTATCCCAGAAGCCTTTGTATCTAACTATTAGGCCTGTGACATCAGAAATAATAATGAAGAGAAATGTAATTAACTGAGAGGGGAAATGATTTGCATTCATGTTATTTAAAATGCCTTTTTTCGTTTGTGTCAAGGACCCTTTTAATTCACATCTCCAGGAGAAAAGCTCTTGGGTGGGAAGGGAATTGCTTAAGGGTTCAGAAGATTTGCATCCCACATACATGCATTACCCAAGGACTCTTCCAGCATTAGAAGGGAAAACGAGAATTGGGAGTGCTGATTTGGAGGGGAAGAAGGGAAAGCAGATAAGCCCTTACTAGGTAGTGTTTGTATGTAATGGAGAAGCTGTGGAGAACCTCAAACAGTCTGCTTTCCCTTTGTACATCCCCTTATTATGGACAATATCTCTTCCACGGATACATTCCTTTCGGTTTTTGGAGATGTTCTGTTTTTATCTTTTCTGGCTTTTAGAGGAAAAGGGGAGCCAGTGACTGAGCTGAATTGGTCCTCCTGCCGCCAGCTTCTCTACCAGTCAATGGCCACCATCCTGGCTCACACAGGCTTTGAGTGTGCCAACGAGAGTGTCCTGGAGACCTTGACAGACATTGCCCACGAGTACTGCTTGAAGTTCACCAAACTGCTGCGCTTTGCTGTGGATCGAGAAGCCCGACTTGGGCACACCCCTTTCCCTGATGTCATGGAGCAGGTCTTCCACGAGGTGGGCATTGGCAGCGTGCTCTCACTGCAGAAGTTCTGGCAACACCGCATTAAGGATTATCACAGCTACATGCTTCAGGTGAGAAGAACAGTAGGGACCTGGCGGCACCAATAAATGTACCTCCAGTACAATTGCATATTCCTATAGCAAGTCCTGGGTCTTATTTAAGTAAAATCTGATTACAAAACCTCTTGGGTGTGGAGGGGAGTCTTCAAGAAAAAGAGAAATGGGATTTTTTTGACTGGAAGAGAGAGCCCTTTATTTGTGACCCTACTGACTCTAAGAATACTCTACTGATGATTTGTCTGGGTTTAAGAGGAGGCTTCCAGCTCCTGAATGGCTCAGACAAAAATACCAAGTAGAGGTAAAATCAGTACTGACCGATTAACTCAATTTTCTGCTTTAATGGGATTTTTGGCTGCTTACCATTTCAGAAACAAATAAGCAGATGAACAAAAATTACTTGTCTGTAGAGTGGCTTGTATTCTTTTAAGCAAGGAGTGACTTGCTTAAGCTTTAAGAGTATAAGGTAGTATTGTGCTGATCTGAGTTGTCACACAGGTACTACCCTCCACTCTAGAGGGGACTGTGCTTCTGTGGAGAAAGAAAAGGAATTGCTGAATTCCTCGGAGTAAGAGCTGCCGTATCAGTGTAGGCTGTAAGAATTAGGATATGGTTTCTCTTGGTCTGGGTATTCTGTGAAATTAAACATATGCATTTTATTTGAATGATGTAAGGCTGTCTGCCTGTTGTTAACTTACAGAAATGCAAGGATTTTACTACCACTCATCAAAAAACAAGACTTGAATCAAGTAGGGAGACTGTGACCAAAGGCAAAACCTGCCATGCCTTCCTCCTTGTCATGTTATCTGAGTACCAGTTGACTCATCTTGGAGCAGCTTCTTGCGCTCCTTCTTTTCCCAGGGGTGGTACTTTGTGGCTTACAGAGGCAATATAAATCAGAGGCACCTGTAAGTGCATGTAGTATGTAAATTGTGAGGGACTGTGACCTTGTGCATAAAAATAACATCATCAAGATCTGTCATCATTGGAAACTTTTTTTTTCCCCAAAAAAATTCATTTTTGTTCAGATGTCTCCTTTTGGAATTTGAGTTTTCTGCACCATTTTGCTGATACAGTTCACTCTCCTACTGCAGCTGGTCATTCTCTTACTTGTTCTATTCTTCATACAGGGCTGGGGTCCACAGTAGCCTCTGTGTTTGGAAGCACATCTAGGAGGGGGAAATAGGCTTTGTTATTCTTTTTTCTTCTTGCTTCTGTTGTTAAAAAGCCTTGGACTTTTCCTGGGCACAGTTCACTGACTGTTGGGATTCAGTGTTATAAACAAGCATTTGTTAGAAGCAGATGCAATCTGAAAATTTTAATTTAATTGCTTACAGTTGTTAAGTTTCTGCAAGTACAGGGTGGTTCTAAATCTTATTCCTGTATTTGCTTCACTTCTCTGACTGGAGGAAACTTCTGGGTTTTTTGCTGTGAACCTAACAGAAGGTACTGAGGCTTTGCCCAGAGGTGACTACAGAGCTGATGAGTATCCGAGCTGCTTGGTTTTTAATGCTGGAGTAAAGTTGTTACTGGTGGATGGGGGATAGTCTTATAGGTAAAACCAAAAAGTAAGCTGAGACACTTCGCTTTTTTTCATGCTCTCTTTAAATTCCTGGGCCTCATCATGACTGTCTGGGAAATAAAGGTGCTCGTATTTATCAAGAAGATGGCTTAATCCATTAACACTCTTACTGAAGTCCCTTGTTACAGGCTAGAAGGTGTTTTTAAAGGGGAAAAAAAGAATCTTTCCTGTGCTGATAACTATTTACTTGTTCGTTCAGGTCAGATGTTAATAATATTCTGGGAAGAGAGCACACTGCAATGTAATTGCCATCAGAGTCACTGAAGTCACTCTGACCTTTCTGGCCTCTTTTTCACTCCCACTGATCTTTGACAGGTTAGCAAGCAGCTCTCTGAAGAGTATGAGAAGATTGTCAACCCTGAAAAGGCAGCAGAAGACACAAAGCCTGTGAAAATTAAGGAAGAACCTGTTAGTGATATTACTTTCCCTATAAGTGAGGAGCTGGAAGGAGATCTGGCTTCTGGTGACCAGTCTTTACCCGTTGGAGTCCTTGGAGCTCAAAGCGAGCGCTTCTCTGCCAACTTGGAAGTAGAAGCTTCACCACAGACCTCAGGTAGGGATTTCTTGCTACTGCTGGAAACAGTCTATCAGCTGTTCTGTGTGATCTTGTTTCCGTTTTTAATACCAGATCCCAATGGGAGGAAGGAGAGGGAGAAAAATTCTTTAGATTTTAATAAAAAGATTTGGATGGGAGAGAAACCCTTGCTTGCTTTCTAAATGCGAAACTGAAGAATCAAAAGTATCAGTTAGGAAGGTTTGTTAAATATTTACTCCATTTGAGAACTCTGTAGAACACGAAATGCTTTCCATGGTGTTTATTTTCAGGGGATTGTTAAAATTCTTGGCTTTGTTATTGGTGTGAGGTAGATTGTTTTTCTACAGTGGTGGCCCAATGGCTTTGCTGTTGCTTAGTGAACTAGGGTATTTGCTATGGATGTGAGTACCTTTTTTTTTTTTTTTCCAGTCTAATGTAACAAAGACAAAAATAACTTTTGGGTTTATTTATGTATGTATATATTTTACTTTAAAAGAGGCTAGAATTTTATCCTTATAGCTAGTGAGGAGAGTACCAGATATTTCTTTTTTTCATTTTTTTTCTGAGTAGTTTTAGATTCTTGTTCAGAGATTCACGTTACTGAAAAGTTGAAGGCCATGTTCCTTGTGACTGGTGCAAATTCAAGACCGTCAAAAGTTTAGGAACTGAATGAACTATGGAAATACTAATTATATATGGTGCAGTCCTCTGTGTTCAGAAGTCACACTGGTAATGACAATCATTGTTTTCTGAAAGCTTGTCAGTGACTTATGTGAAAGGGGCTTGTGGTAGTCCCTCCTGTTCTAGCATCTCTATCCCAAAGCCTGCTGCTGTATTAGCTGAGGCCATGGAAAGGGAAATGGTGAGTGAAAGTCAGGTTCTGGAGACTACACTCTTTTCCTTTAAGTGCCATCCCTTGATGTTGGTATTGAAGCACACTGGTTTTATTCTGTGCACTCTTTAGTAATGCTAAATTTTCTGGGAAATGAAGAAGATATTCTTCTCCCAAAGACAGCCAGTTTTGATTTTTGTTTAGAACCTTCTGAACTCTGGAAATCATGCAATAATAACTGTTTCACTTAAAAATCTGGTTAAAATAAAATGAAGCCTGTCCTCTTAAACTAAGTAGCATATATAGCGAGGTTAGAATATACCTCTGAGTCCTTTTTTTTTTTTTTTTTTTTTTAAAACACAATGGGAAGGGGAAGAAAAGCAAGGGGATTGTCCCAAGTTTGAATCTGTCTCCGGGGTTGAAATTGTGACG